CCTATAGGCCAAACATTCTGTAATTAATATAAGCTTTTGTCTGATTGTTTGAAACTGGGTGGTCAGGACAACAGAAAAGTTTGGCCTCTGCTTACAATAAAGTATCTACCATACAAATAAGAGGATCTGAGTTCAGGTCTCTGACACTCATGTAAAAACCATGTGTTGCAATACGAGTCTGGGACCCAAGAGTGGGGGTAGGGGTGGGGACTGCCTCTAACCTGTAAGCCCATGGACTAGTACTTTCTGAGATGCTAAAGGCTGTTGCTCATAAGATGTTCACAAGTCACATGTTTTCACTTTCCCAAACACGCTTGGCTGACCCAACAGCACTGGATGTGCTTAGTCATAAGTAAGCAGGAAGTTTTTCAGGATGTATGCTTGCTCCTGATTGGATGAAAATAGGAGGTACTTAGTCTTGTGAATTTGCCTTCATATAAGCACCTGGACATTTTATGGCAACCTGGAACAGACTGGCCATATTTTATTAAAGCTTGCTTCAATTTTGGTAGAACTAACAACACCTATAATCTTAGCATGCAGGAGGATAAAATGTCCAAGTTCAACCTCTGCAACAGAAATCAAGGTCAGCCTAGGTTATGTAAGACCTTAATAAAATAAGTAAAATAATAACACCTACACTTCTAAAGATCCAGCTAAAAGTCATCCACTTCATCCTATCTCCATGCCATGACTCTAGTCCAAGCCTTCATAATTTCTCCTGTGATGTTCTTACTGTGATGGAGCCTCTTCAATCTGCTCTCTTTGATTTACTTCCTAACGTAGGTGTGGCCTTGTTGGAAGAAGTGTGTCAACAGGGGTGGTGGGCCTTAAGCCCATACCAGGCGGCCCAGTCGCTCTTGGCCCATGGATCAGGACATAGCTCTCAGCTACAGCTCTAGTGCCGTGAGTGTTGCCGTGCTCCCCATATGATGATAATGGACTAAACCTCTGAAACTGTAAAAAGGCCTCCAATTAAATCTTTTCTTTAGAAGAGTTGCCTTGGTCATGGTGTCTCTTCACAGCAACTGAACAGTGACTACTAATAAGACACTCACGATGTGACACCCATACATCTTGCTTTCAGCTCCTCTAGTATGCCTTTCTCTTTGCTGCCTCAAGGTCTCTGCATATGAATTCTCACTCGTTTCCACTTCAGTTAGCATTCCTATTTAAAGTAGTCATCTCTTTTTAGTTTATATTTTGTTATTTGGTTGTTTGCTGTTTTTTGGTTTTTTTTAACCTTGGCTTTTGCTTTACTACTCTAAGCTCCATGAGTTCTTTCTGGAGAAGTCCACCACATACCAAATGCAGTTCCTTTCCCCCGTGAGATCTGCCATCCTTCTGCTGCAATCCAGCTGGAGCACTGCTGGCACGTCAGTCTGTAGGGCAAGGGGACCTGAAAACTTCACTTTGGCAGCCTAAGCCATGATGCCAGATAGACCAGAACCACCTCGGGCTTCTGTGTGGCACACCCAAATCTACATGGAAGAAAACACCTGCTAGAGCAGTCACTACCAAGACCCCTGCCAATCAGAAGCGCTCCACTGCTTGCCTGATATCTCACTTCTCTAACAGCTGAGTCTGAAGACTAAACAGTGCTTACGCTGGAAGCATGGGCGGCACACACTCAAATTCTACAAAACCACTTTGCGGCTGGAGCCAGAAGAACATAGCACCCTCCCCACAGCCTACCTGTCCGTGCACTCAGCAGGTCAGCAGGACACACAAATTGTGTTTTATTAGAAAAGACACCAATGTTTCAGTTAGAAAGTGCTTTGAATTGGGGTTCAGGAAGGCATACACAAACAGTCTTTCAGGGTATCGCCCCAAGGGATTTATGCCTAAATGAGAATTTCTTAAGACTCTTTATTAAATCATTGCTTTGCTTTGCTTTTTTTTTTAAAAAAAAAAAGGTATCTCAAAAAACTAGGCTCTAATTACAGGTTAGAGTGTGGTGGCAACTAGGTCCATTGAAGACACTTCAGCAGAAAATGACTTTAAACATCCAACAGCTTGTTTTAAAAAGGAAACAGGTATGGTGGTGCATACATGTAATTCAAGCACTGGACAGAGGCAGGAAGATCAGGAGTTCAAGACCAGTCTGAGCTGTAAGAGACCTTATCTCCATTAAACAGTCAACCAAAAGAAAACAGTCTCAATGACTACTTTCCCATAAACTCTGAATCACCAAACCAGCTATTTCTCCAGGTCTATTAGGAGGATTTCTTTTTTCTTCTTTTTTCTTTTGGTTTTTGGAGACAAGGTTTCTCTGTGTACCTTTGGAGCCTGTATTCTCACTCTGAAGACCAGGTTGGCCTCGAACTCACAGTGATTCTCCTGCCTCTGCCTCCCGAGTGCTGGGATTAAAGGCGCGTACCACCACCGCCCAGCTACTATGGGGATTTCAAAGTAGAGTCTTTAATCTCAGAGGTTTAACAGACTGGAGAAAATGCTCGGCAGAATCAGCACACTGGTTATACTGAAGAATCAAGTACGGTTCCTAGCATTTGTGCTGGTTGGTCAAAACTGTCGAAATTCCAGCTCAGCAGATCTGATATCCTCTTCTGGACTCTGCAAGCACCATTCCCATGTTATGTAATTAGAAATAAAATAAAACTTTTTTTTTAAACTTTTTATTTTATGTTCATTGGTGTGAAGGTGTCAGGTTCCCTGGAACTAGAGCTACAGACAGTTCTGAGTTGGCATGTGAGTGCTGGGAATTGAGACCAGGTCCCCTGGAGGAGCAGTCAGTGCTCTTAACCACTGAGCCATCTCTTCAGCTTCCCAAAATAAACCTTAAACAACAACAGCAACAACAACAACAACAGCAGCAACAACAACAACAGCAACAACAACAACAGCAACAACAACAGCAACAACAGCAACAGCAACAACAGCAACAGCAACAACAACAACAACTTAGTGGTTTACTAAAAAAGAAAGTTTGGTGTCTACTTAGATAAAGCTGTGAAGGTCCCCAAACCAGAGCTCTATTTGCAAAAGAAGAAATATTAAATACCCATGGCTGATTATCAAGGTGTGAAGCAAAGTTAGAAGACAGAGGCAGAACCAACACTGTAACTGGGACAATTGAGTCTGCTCTGAAGTGGCAGCTGGGCCCAATGCCAGGTACAGTGGCCCAGGGTACTGAAGCTGAAAAGATGTTCTACATTTTAAACTTTTGTCTATTTATTTGATGTACATGTGTGTTTTATCTGCATGTATGTGTCTGATGCCTGTGTTGGATCCTCTGGAATTGGACACATAGACTGCTGTGATGGTTACCATGAGGGAGCTGGGAAGAGAACTTGGCTCCTTTGAAAGAGCAGCAAATGTTCTTAACCACTGAGCCTCAATGCTCTACATTTTAGAATCTGTGACTCCAGGGCTGGAGAGACGGCTCAGCAGCTAAGAACACTTGTTGCTTTTGCAGAGGACTGGAGTTCAATTCCCAGTGTTCACGTGATGACTGACAATCATTTCTAAGTCCAGTTCCAGTGGATGCAACAAGCATGCACATGGTTCACATAGATGCACGCAGGCAAAACACATAAAGTATATGTTTTTTTAAAAAAGAATTTGTGACTCCAAATATTTATCGAATAATACTTCACTAAATGAAAAGGGAACAAGGGAACTAGAAAAGGAGACCTTCCCAAACATAAAATCCTGAGCCCTGAAACAGTACTAGCCTTCAAATTGTCTGTAAGAGGAACAATTAGCCAGATTTTCAATATTTTTATATAGATCTGCACAAACCCCACCCTCTCCCTCTCCAAATACTCCAGTGACCCTGTCTACATGCTCCTGCTCTATTGGCTTACTACAGGGGACAGAACGGAGCTCTTGGCTGTGGGAGCAGATCTCAGCCTCTGGGCACAACTTCACAGCAGCGGTTCTGTAAACACAGGGAACATGAACTGGCTTCCCCAGGCTTTACGACAGGATCGCCCAGTCCACATTTTTGAGAGGGGCCATAACTCATAGTCACGGAGGGGCCATAACTCACAGTCTGAGATCATGAAGCTCCTGCTTCCTCACCAAGGCCCTTTCTAAAAGACCCAGCTGACCCCAACCAGTATGGCAAGGACGAAGTAAATGGAAAGCGCCCCAAGAAAATGAAAACCCAAGTCTCCTTGGTGTTGAGACTGAGTTCCAACCCTAAAGAGCCAAATGAACAGTGTTAGGGAAACGCCTGCCAATGAATCTAGCAGAGCATTTTACACCCCGCGGGGGAGAGGGGGGCTCAATTTCTCCATGGCACCAGTAGCTCCAGTCTTATGACTGACACTTCAAACTGACAGGGATCTCATGAGTACAAAAATAACGGTCTTTTTCAAAGGAAAGATTAAATCAAAAGGAGAAAAGGAATCTGTTTTCCAGCGTAATTCTGCCATCCTGGGACAGGGAAGGAATGCACCTCCTGTGGAATCTTCCCACACTCCTGAGTAACCAGCAGAGGCACGTCCCATACACTCCCGAATATCTGAGCTGGCAAGAACAAGTGTTATTCAAAGACCTCAGCCCTGGGACAATAGCTCCTGTCAGTCAACTACAGTTCTCACGTCGCTTTCTGTTCTTCGACTCATTCCAAACACAAATCACACCTGTGAGGTACCTGAGAAAACCACACCAATGGATTCACACACTGGCACAGTGATTTTGGACAGGTACCAATACGATTTTTTTTTTTTTTTAAATTTTGAGACAGGGTCTTTTTATGTAGTTCTGGTTGCCCTAAACTCTCTATGTAGATCAGGCTAGCCTAACACTCACAGAGAACCATCTACCTCTGCCTCCCAAGTGCTAGGATTAAAGATATACTTCACTAAACCCAGCTACAACTTTATTGTCAATAAAAAGACTTAGATGACCATATGATCCTGAGAATTTACACAGTAGATTTGATAAGGAACCTAAGACACCAGTAACATATGCTTGAGTCCATGCCAAGAAGGCTTCTGTGAGAAGGCAGAAACCAGCCGTCCATCACTTACCTGAAGCCAATGGTCGAATCCACTCTTTGCTATTTAGGTCGAGCCTCCAGAGGTCATTGAAGGCAGCATTGCAACTGCTCTGAGTACAGCCTCCAAAGACATACATAGACTGATTGGCATCATAATAGCACGCACCTACACGGGCGGGGTGGAAGCAAGAAACAAGTGACTGCAGCTTAATTAGAGGTACTTTCAATAACTTAAGCCATTATTTTTTCAAAACTCTAATATTCCACATGTTCAACAACTTCTCTGTACCAGACATCAAATTCTGATCTCCACATGTTGTCCTCAGATTGATCAATATTACATTATTCTTGCAAAGAAAGTCCAGAGAAAAGCTATGATGAGCATTTTTTAAAGATTTATTTTGAAAATTTTTAAAGATCTATTTTTATTTTATGCTTATAGGTGTCTTTCTTGCACGAAGGTAATGTGTGCCATGTATGTGCAGTGTTCGTGAAGCTGAGAAGAGGATGCTGGATCCCCTGGAACTGGAGTCGCAGTTATTAGTTGCTGTGTAGATGCTGAGAACTGAACCCAAATCTTCTGGACGAGCAGTCTGTCGGTGCTCTTAGCAGGTAAGCCATCTTTCCAGCTCTAGATATCTTAATTCTGAGCACTAAGCAAACTAACAACGACATCATGGAACAAGATGGCAATATGCATTCAGATGGCGGCTGCTCGAGAGTAAAACTTCTTTGAGTCCAGCTATATCACTATCAAAACTGCATCCTGTGTCCTAGAGCAAGATGTTCTTCCTCTGTCTTCCACTGACTCTGCTCTAAGTTTTGTATTTTCAAATGAAACCTAAAGCACAAGTATTTATATGGAACACAACTGTGGAAACATTCTAACCAGTGCTGTGAAAACCACAGAGGCCAACGTGACTAAAGCAAGGTGGGATTTCATGAAGTGAAAGTACAGCAAAGGAAACAGCAGTTCAAGCCCAAAGCAACCAAAGGGAAAAGCAGAAAGCTATTGGACTCCTAGGCGTGCTGGTTGGCGTGGACTAAATCAGGGCAGTAGGAAATACTGGAAGAGAACGGTTAGCAGTCAGTTATATCACCGGAGCTTTCCCGAGAAACAGAGGCAAAGAAAAGGGCTAAACCCAGAAAGACCTAAGACGAGAGGTGGGAAAGCTGAACTCCGCCGACATCTCCCGGAAGGCTCATCCAGCTGCTGTTCTTAGGAAGAGATGAACACAAGCCCTGCAGCCTCATGTTTACCAGCTGGGCTTGGGAGAGACTGAGCAAAGCTCTTTGTGTCTACATCATGCCACACAGATGAGTTACCCCTCATTTCTCATATGAAACCAATAGCCGGTGTCACATGAACTGAAGGACAGAGTAAAAACAATGCGGAGTTCTGAGACACTAGTGCTTAGCTGCAGGGATCACCAGCTATCTGCAGGTGCAGTTCAATCTCACGAACCACTACTTTCAGGTCTCTTTTCAATTACAACGCCACTTAGTCAAGTCAGAAAAAGGGAACCGCTCCTACACCGCACCCCAGCCTGTCTCGGCTGCCAGTTACAGTTATAGCAGCGGTGTACATTAGCTCTGGAAGTTACCAGTTCTCTTAAATCAGTGGGCTGTCAGGCAGGTAACTAGCTGAATAAAGCTGCGTACTTTAGTAGTTGCCCCAGTAATGACTGCAGATGTCACAGCAGTAATGATAAATGCAAGGTTGTCACAGACTGACTACACCTCTTGTCCAGCACTCATGGCAGGGATATATGGAGCTTTAAGGGTTCTGGTCTGGTCGTCTTCTTTGAGACAGAGTCTATGTAGCCCTAGTTGTCCTGGAATTCACTCTGGAGACTAGGCTAGTCTAGATCACATAGAGAGTCACCTGGCTCTGCTTCCTGAGTGCTGGGATTAAAGGTGCGTGCCACCACACCTGGCCTTTAAATGTTAACCTGTCTATGGATCCTTGTTTTTGGTTTAAAAATAATTTTGAGCAGCTGAAGTAACAGCTCAGAAGTTAAAAGCCCTGATTGTTCTTCCAGGACTGTGACTCAACCCTATACCCACATAGAGGCTCCCAACATCCATAATTCCAGGTCCAGGAATTTGACACTCTCTTCTAACATTCGAGGGCACTGCATGCACATGGCCCAAAGACATACATGTAGGCAAAATATCCATACAAATATAATAAAATAATTTAAAATCCTTTAAATAGTAATTTTTAAGTTCTATCTAAATGAGTTACTTTGTCTTCACACTAAGAAATCTATTTTAAAGTAGAGTCTAGCTGGTCTAACAGCTCAAGTATCAGGCTAGTTAGCTCCTGCCTCAAAATAAAATAAGAGAAAGTAATTAAAACAAATAGAGCAAAAAGTAGAGTCTAGAAAAATCCCATTGCTCACATTTGCTAAGCACTGTAAATAAGAAAGAACTAAGTTAAAGGGCATGGGAGGAACAAGGAAGATTCCTGGGGCTACATCTGGGTCTCTATTAAAGAAACTCACCAGCTCCAGGTTATCTTGCTCCCACAAAGACAGGGTCTCACTATATAGCCCAAGCTTGTCTTGAGCTTGTGGTGATTCTCCTGCTGCAGCCTCCTGAATATTAGGATTACAGGTATGGATTACAAACCTGGATTCCCTCAGACTTGGAATGAACTAGAAATTCCAATGATGGAGCAATCATGAAGAACTAACAGTATTCTAGAGCTTTTGAAATACAATATTTATTACAATGGTACTTGATAGAGCAAATCTGAGTTAGCAAAATGGCTCAGCTAGTAAAGGTGCTTTCCAACAAGCCTGATGGCCTGGGAACCACATGGTAGTGCACATGCATGTGCACGCACGCACACACGCACACACACACACACACACACTAAATAATAGAAAAGGCAAATCTCTGATTTCCTGTGAGGATAGTCAAGGCTAGTTTAAGTTGCCAGAGTCTATATACAAACTCTTAGCAGCAGCTTCCTTCATAGTAGCAAAAGAGCAGAGTGCCTTTATTTTTCAATGAGATAGCAAACATTCTTCTCCTCTATTTGGATTGAAAACTCAGCCAGTTGGGCCCCATGAGGTCCTTCACATGTATTTTAGTCCTATACTAAAATAGGGCAGGCTGCATTTTCTTGTTTCTCTCTGAACAAAGAAATGTTTTTGAAGTAGGAACATGGGGCCCAAAGCTAAAGTACTAAGAGTCAAGTGACACACAGCTGAGTTTCAGTGACCACTGGTCAAGTATTAGTGAAGCTGGGAGTAAGGGAGTCAATTTAGAAAACAATGTTTAGGACTGGAGAGATGGCTCAGCGGTTAAGAGCATTGCCTGCTCTTCCAAAGGTCCCGAGTTCAATTCCCAGCAACCACATGGTTGCTCACAACCATCTGAAATGAGATCTGATGCCCTCTTCTGGCCTGCAGGCAGACACACAGACAGAATATTATATACATAATAAATAAATAAATATTAAAAAAAAGAAAACAACGTTTAGAACTCAGATAAAGCAGAACAAGAACATATCACACTATCGGACACATTGCATACAGTTTGAGACAACATGCTCATATAAAATGAATTCCAGGCCAGTTAGGGCTACACAGTGAGACTCTATCTCAAAACCCACAAAGAAAATAGAACACTATTTTCTAATATTTCTAAATATTCTAATAAACATCCCATTGAACTCTGCCTACAGCTTGTCTTTACTGGAGACACTGAAGTGGTGATAGCAGTGGGTGAGCAATTCTCAGTCTCATACAACTGTACTTGCAGTTGTAGTTGCAGGGTGGAGAACTCAAGTTCTCCACCCAAATTCTGGACCTCTGGAATGTCACCACACTTAGAGCTCATGGCAGTGTGAATACTGCACTGCGAAACGGAGAAGCTCTGTGCTCCAACCGTTAAATCTCCACATTTGTCCCAAGTAAGTTCATGTGTTCTGTGAACAGCTATGACAAAGAGACCTATCTCAAATTGTCAACAGTCTCTATTCAAAGACAAACCACACAGCCACAATCTAACCGTACACATGCAAGTCAACAGTTCTTCACAGACCAGAAAAGTCTCCTACTGAACTACAATCATCTCAGGAGCAAGAGCTTCAGGAATCTGGATTTCCACAGTACCTGGGACAATTCCCAAATGTTCCCTGAGTGAGCTGCACACTCTAGCTTTGCAAACTTTCAGATGTTAAACTCTCTTTTGTTTCCCCACTGTCACCAGGGAAAGGCCCTGAGGCATTTATCCCATGCAGAAAGAGACTATGCTGTTATGTGTCTCCCATCTACAAGCTGGGACATATTTGATAAGGTCTGTAATTACATAACTCAGGACAGGCGAGGGTGGTGATCCAGCCTGGGCCTGCAGATTCCTGCAGGTGCCAGATCAGCAGTGTGTGGAACTACCTGACTATATGAGAAGTCTAAACACTTCAATGTTAGGGATTCTCTACAGTAATTTGACTAGGGTATTCTCCATTAACCAAGGTTGGCGTGAATAGACTTGCAGACATTCACTAAAGATTACAAAACTAGCCTTTTCAGTACCAGGCTTTTAACATAGGAAAGATCTTGTACTGAACATATATTTGTTGTGTCTACGGCCTTTTAATTTTTTTAAAATTAATCTTGTGTTTGTGTATGTATGTGTGCGCGTGCATGTCAAGGCAGGTGTGTAGGAGCCAGAGAACTTGCAGGAGTTGGTTCTCTCTTCTGTGTGGGTCCTGGGAACTGAACTGAGGTCTTCTGTGTTAGTGGTAGGTGCCTTTCCCTGCTAAGTCATCTCATTGGCCCATATTTGTTGTGATTAAGCCTACAAATCTCAACAATTATTAAAATGTCTTCATACTGATGTGGATACTCCAACAGAACTAACGTTACAAAGGAACTGTTAGTAGATCTGCTCAGGAGACATCAGGACACATAAAACAGAGCCGCCTCCTAAATACCCGAAAGCACAACTTTGGAGTCAGGATGTATTAACCAGTCATTAGGCTCCACTCTTACAACAAAGGAGGCAACCCTGACTTACAATCGGCCATTAGGTCCTTCACCATAAGAGTTCAAGGGGGCAACACAGGTTCACAACCAATGTTACGCCCTGGCCTGCCACATAGCCCCTCAGTTCTCTTTTTGAAAAAAAGCATTAATTCTGCCAGGTGAGCAAGATGACCCTGGGTAACAACTATTCGAAAAATAATGACACTGGTGTACTAAAAATAACCCTGGCAATACCTTTGCTGTGCAGATCACCCATCTGCCTAAGTGACCAGACTTGCAGTCTCCTGACTCTATTTAAATTATTCAAAGTGTAACATGGGGCAGAGAGAGAGGTTTACAGATGACAGTGTATGTGAAATGCATAAGCCTAAGGTGTGTATGAGCTAGAGAAATCTATTTAGGGCTGGTTCTTCTTTGGTCATTAGCCAGAGTCTGGCATTCATTATACTAAAGAGTTTTTCCTTTATTAATCTCTATGTACATGAAGTGCTTTCTCATTAGAAAGGCATAATTCTAGAGCTAGCTATGAACTAGGTGTTAATAAGTACAAGGGTGTCTCCGATGTCACTATCCTTAAGTACACAACCACATCATACTCACATTCAACAGCCTAAACAATGTTTTGACGAGTGATCCGACTAATTTTTCAGCAACCTATAGCATCAACAGTATTTGTTACGTACATCTTACAAACAAACTGAGTAAGAAACCCGAGGAACTTGGTCTTTGCTACTGACAGAGCTTCACTGGCGGAGACAACGTAAAAAGGAGAGTGCAAGTGTCAGAAGGGCAGAGGGACGGTGCAGTCTCCTCAGTGGAGGGCTCAGGGTAGCACATGAACAGCATGTCTTATTCTGTCCTTATAAGGAGCAGGATCTAGCTTAGTTCCATCCAGCTTGAGATGAAGAGAAGGAAAGAAGACACTTAGAAATGTACAGGGGGCAGGGAGTACTCAGTTCATGTTTGCTTTGCTTGAGGCTTGGGGTTTAACCTCCAGCACAAGAGGAAAAACGAGGGCTATATTGTGATGGTGTTGAGATGTAGTATCAGATTACGGGTTAAGAGTGACAAGAAAAAAGAAAAGGTTTGAGGCAGAACAGAAACTTGGCCTTTTGTTTTCTGATTTACACAGAATCTCGAGTAGCCCAGGCATATCTCAAACTCACTAAATAGCCAGGGCTGGCCTTGAACTCCTGATCCTCCTGCAAGCATGCACCACCACAGCATGAGGTGCGGAACTGAGGGTGAGTCCAATACCTCATTTAAGATGATGGTGACATTCGCTAAATTAAGAAAGGGAAAAAAAATTGGAAATAGGGAGCCACTGAGCTCTACTTTTAGCTAACTGAATATGAAACATCTAGTATTTCCATAGTAACAAGTCAAGAATTAAAGATGCAGATCTTGAATCAACATGAATTAGGGATATGAAAGAAAACTGAGGGAACAAGAATAGATTCACAATAGAAAAAGGAAGGTGCCGGGGGGGGGGAATTAAACCCTGAATTTTCTTTTAATTTTAAAATTACATTTAATAGCCAGGTGGTGGTTGCACATCCTAGCACTTGGAAGGCAGAAGAAGGCTGATATCTTTGAGTCCAAGGCCAGCCCGGTCTTCAGAGTGAGTTCCAGGACAGCAAAGGCTACACAGAGAAATTTCCTGTCTCCAAAAAAAAAGTTCTTTCTTTATTTCCTTCCTTATTTATTTATTCTGCGACCTTAAATAAGAACATGTATGCCAAGGTGCATGTGTGGAGGTGAGAAAACAATTTTTGGGAATTAGTTCTCTCCATCTACAATCTGGGTCCTAGGGATAAAACTCAGGCTGTCAGGCTTGGTTGCAAGTACTTTTACCTGGTGAGCCTTCTCACCAGTTCTGGAATTCTTAGTTTTTAATCTATTTTGCAAGTTGCCCTTTTCTCTGTAATGGTCCTTTTCAGTTGTCAGTCAGCTGGGCAGTGTACAGGACACATGGAAAAAACAGACCAGAAGAAAAACGACATAGGATTTTTTTCCCCCACAAAATTACCTTGTGACTCTTTCTTGGATTTCAAGCAGCATGATGAGCCACCCCTGCCAGTGGCTCATAGTAACATGGCCTCTAATCTCTGGCTGCAAGGTCCCCAGCAGTGTGGGGGTAAGAAGCATCCCCTTCAGAAGCCGAAGGCCTCCAGTGCCGCTGCTGCGGTGGCACAGCTGACTAATGCATCCAGACTCACTCCTCCCTCACTGTGGGACAGGCTCAGGACTAGGGCAGAGCTCAGTGGGAAAGAGCTTGCTCTCAGCAAGAAGCCCTGACATTGATCCCCGGCCTTGCAAAATCCAGAGCAACCGTCTTCAGAAGCTCTGTCAGCACCTCTTCCTCTATCTGTAGCAGTAACACACACTGAATCAAATATGGACCCTGGCAGAATGTCATCCAGTCTAGCCATTCTGAATCATGATCTGCAAACTCCATAAACAGTTGAGAACATTTCAAAACTCTTTCAAAAACAGCAGAAATGATGATAGCACTTGCCTTCTGCTTCTAAGACAGGGTTCTGCTAAACAGTCCAGCTGGTCTTGAAACTCTCCTGCCCCCGCTGTCCTGATAGGCATGCACGCCACTTCTCTCTGTGCTGGCAACGGCACAAACACCTCAGAAGCACTGGGGTAGACTACTGTTTCAGCATGGATCAAGGCAGTACCACTAAACTATTCTCTTTTCGCCCATTATACTGATTGATTGATTGATTCCCTGGGGGGAAGGGATCCATGCCACAGCGTGAATGTAGAGATCAGAGGACAACTCACAGTTAAAGGACAACCAGCAGGAGTCGGTTCTCCTCCACCATATGGGTCCTAGAGATGGGATGCATGTGAGAGCTTGACAGTGAGCTCCTTTACCCACTGAGTCAACTCACCTGTCCTCAACTACTTTTGTAACCCAGGGTCTTCCATGGTCACACACTTACATTTTTGACTTCAGTGAGTCCCACAGGTCTCAAAAATGTCCTTCTTCGAACAGGATAGAGCAGCACAAGTAGAAAAGCAGCTTTTTGAGAGTGGCACACGACACTTTACCTGCCTCCCTGGTCTGTTTTCATCTAGCCTCAAAGCAATAAACGAATCATAACTATTTCTGAACATCTCCAGACGTATAGCAATCTGGGGTAGGTAGCACTGAAGGATCTTCACCTCCTGGTGTTTACAACCCCTACCGTCCTTGTGTAATCAAGGGATTAGAAAGGAAGAGATGTACTCACTTCAAAGATCATGAAGAGATACCCTGGCTTCCTTCCATCTTGGGTGCCTTCTCTCAGCACCTGCTCTACAGTACGCAGTACAGTGTGTCTGGCTCTAGCTAGACACTGAGGCCTCCTTTGAAGAGATCATCCAGTCCCAAGTAAAGCTTCAGGACAGGGAATCTCTGGATAGCAATTATGGCCACTCTAGGAAAATCCCTAAACCAGAACTCAGTACGCCATCTCCAAAGGACAAGTTAAGAGATACTGTTTTAAGCTGCTCAGTCATTTTTATGACACAGGCAATAACTACATGCTCCTTCCTACCAAAAGCTCAAAATATAACCAGGTATGGAGGCACATGCCTGAAATCCTCGCCTTCAGGAGGCTGGGGTTGGTGGAGAATCAAATGAAGAACATAATATAAAATTAACAAGCCCCAGCAATTCATTTGTCGAGGTGTCAGGGATTGAACCTGGGCCTTGGTGGACAAGCACTCTGCCATTGAGTTACACGTCAGCCTTCACAACAAGTTTAGGCTCACTTTTCCCTACTCTGTTAGAAACTCTCATTTTACATTCTCTTAATTAAAAACCAAACAAAATGCATGCCCCCAAAACACAATCATGGGCAGTGTGGGACCTACTTTCCCAATATGGATACTCACTGTGGGAGAAGCGCTGCGTGATGGGGGTTCCGGGATAAGGGTAAGTCCTGCTCTCCCACTGAATGTTTCCTTCCTGGACAGCCTTCATAAAACCATGGTAACACTGGTGGGCTACACCTAAAGATGAACAAAGTCAAAGGCGTCAGCTTGGATACCTAACGTGTGTGTGTGTGTGTAGAGGGATCATTAAAATTTTATCTTCTAACTGCTCTATCACTTGTATAGGCCATAAATGTTTTGAGGAAGTCCAAACTTCTCTCATTTTCATTCAAAGAAAAACGAAATCAAGTAATGTCAAAATTGAAAGAACTATATTTTACCAAGGTACAGGAGATTCAGAGATGTGTGCAAAGTTACTAAATCAGCTCCTATGATAACCCTTGTCCACTCTCAGTTATATTCTGTGGCAATAAAGATAATTGGTAGCATTTACTACAAAGCAAAGGGGCGGGAGTAATTTATCTTTGTGAAGGAATACAATGAAGCAGTATCTGTAATGTAACAGCTGCTCAAAAAGCTCTGCAGTTAGAGCAGGAATCCTCCAGCTTAAGCAAGAACGTACGAGATTATTATATAATAGATTATGAAATGTTGAGTGTGTGTCTGAGGACTGTGTCTTAAAAGGTAAGAGCTTGGGTGGGCTGGAGTGATGGCTTAGTGGTTAAGAGCACTTGGCTGCTCTTCTAGAGAATCCACGTTCACGTCTGAGCACCTACACAGAGACTCAGAACATATGCTTCTGGCCTCAGTAGACATCAGGCATACATGTGTTACACAGACATACATGCAGTCAAAACGACCATACACATGAAATAAAAATAGCTAAAAATTAGGAGCTTAGGGCTGGAGAGTTGGTGCAGTGGTTAAGAGCACTTACTGTCCTTGCAGAGGACCCAGGTTTACTTTCCAGCATTCTGGGTGGCTCAAAACTGCCTGTAACTCCAGTTGCAGAGGATCCAATGCCCTCTGCTGGCCTCCACAGGCACCTGCACACACATGGTGCACATAAATACACCCAAGTTGCACACACACACGTATAAAATTAATAAATAACTTTTTTTAAGTTATGAGTTTTCCAGGCACAGTGGTACTATACCTTTAGTTCAGCAATTAGAAGGGCAGATGCAGGTGAATTACTGTGAGTTAGAGGCCAGCCACACTACATGGTGAGACTCTAAACAGGTTGAGAGCTTTACTCCAAAGGTAAATATATGACATTATATACTTGTCTAAATTTATAATATGGAGATTACCAAGGCTGAACTCTGATATAAATGATGGTCTCTGGGTGGTGGTGATCTTCCAATACAGGTTCTTCAGCTGCAACAAGGTACCAGTACCGTGAGCAGTGCTGACAAGAATGGAGGCTATCAGTGAGCAGGGGCATAGGCAGAAAACAAATTCTGTGCTTACCACTAGTGATAGTGAACCTAAAATTCCTCTTTAAGTAGAGCATTAGGCTAAGCTGAGATGTAGGATGATAAGGTCAAGTCTAGCCTGGACCACACACAAGGAAACCTTGTGTCAAAAAGTATGTGCTTATGCAGTGGATTTTAAAAAGTAAAAGCTTCATGCTTGTGGAACAATCTAGTATTTAATGCATCATTCTAATAACTAATTCATTAAAGTTCTATTTTGTTTGTTTTTGGTTTTTTGTGTACAAGTGGTGCTTAGCAAAGCCAGAGACTGGTCAGATGCTGTGGAACTGGAGCTTCCCATGATTGTGAACCATCACGAGGGTGATGAAATCCTACTTGGTCCTCTGCAAGCTCAGCAAACACTGTGCTTAAGAAGCAGATGATTGCCAGGTAGTGGTGGCACACACCTTTAATCTCAGCACTCAGAAGGCAGAGGTAGAGATTCAAGGCCAGCCTGCTCTACAGAGCGAGTTCCAGGACAGCCAGAGCTACACAGAGGAAGCCTAACTTGAAAAACCAAAAGGAAAAAAATGTATTGTGTAGTGGATGCATATGGAGCTCTGGAGAAAGTTGACACCTCTGACCTCTGAAGACACCCACACACTGGCATACACTCTGACAGACACACAATCATCCATGATTTTAAAATAAAATCTTAAGCAACCTCAAGAGCACAAAGTACTCAGAGACACTGAGAGCACAGGCACACCCAAGTGTGGGCCCAGGCTCAAGGGAGCATTGTAGCCCCACCTTTATATTTTTGAGAAAGGGTCTTTCTTTTTTCCTTATGAAGACAGAATCTCACTGTGTAGCCCTGGCTGACCTCGAACTTACAGAGATCCAATTATCCCCCCCTCTTCTGTTTTATAAAAAAAAAAAAATTAAAAAAAAGGAAGGTCAAGAGCACATGAGGAAAGACACTGGAAGTCTGCCTCCAGCTCCACATCCTTGTACATGTATGTATGTATGTGTATGTATGTACACATGCATACACCCACACTAACAAGTACATACAACACACAGACACAGCTGACACACCAGGCCCACAGCTGGCCGTAACTCCAGTGCTAGAGATATGATGCCCTCTTCTGATCTCCACAGGCACCATGTCTGTACATGGAGCACAGACAATACATGCAGACAAAAACACTGATTTTTCCAGATAGGGTTTCTTCATGTAACAGCTCTGCTGTCCTGAAACTCGCTTTGCAAACCAGGCTGGCCTCAAACTCAGAGATTCACCTGCCTCTGCGTCCTAGAGATGCTGGGATTACAGGAGTACGCCAAATAAATCAATCTTCAAAAACATCCATCATTTTGAAACTGCAAATGAATTAAATACTACTACTACTATTATTAAACAACTGTATTCTATTGTATATTAATATTCTAACTGTTTATAAAATTAACCAAGATAAGAAAAATGTGTTAACTTATCTAATACTAATTTTTACAACCATGTCTTTAAGGGAGAAAAGAGAAAGGGAGCCTAAGAGTTTTCTTCAGTAGCTTTCTGCCCAGGCTGTTACTTTTTTGGGAAATGGGGTAGTGGTTGTCACTGAAGACTTTTATGTTCCTCTTTCTCAACTGTGAGTCTGCAGTCATTGAGACCACTGCAAAGGTAGCTTCCCTGCCTATACAGTCAGCGAGAGCACAAATCATCTACTTCTACATGGTTTCCAGCGACAGTAAGGACCACGGACATCCACACAGTCTCTGGCCTCAGCATGGACTCCAGTGGCTGTACAGACCACAGATGTCAACACAGCGATCAAAGGGATCTCTTTAAAAAATTGTGATAAGAGGGGCTGGAGAGATGGCTCAGGAGTTGGAGCGCTGGCTGCTCTCCCAGGAGTCCTGAGTTCAGTTCCTGGCATCCACATAGTGGTTCACGGCCATCTGTGGTGAGAGCTGGTGCCCTCTTCTAGTGTACAGGCAGAATAGTGTGTACATAATAGATAAATAAATCTTAAAAAAAAAAAATACTGTGATAAGGATGCTGAAGTGTAGCTCTCCACAACTGATGGCTTCTGGTGGGGTGCCAGGTGGAGAAGAACTCAGTTTTCTTTTCTTTTTTCCTTAAAGATTTTATTTATTTATTATGTATACTGTGTTCTGCCTGCAGGCCAGAAGAGGGAGCCAGATTTCATTACAGATGGTTGTTAGTCACCATGTGGTTGCTGGGACTTGAACTCAGGACCTCTGGATAAATAGTCAGTTCTCTAAACCACTGGACCACCTCTCCATCCCAGACTCAATTTTCTTTAAGGGGCTGGCCATTGGGAGTCTAACCATGCTCTAGTGAGTATATGGGCAACACACATTGGACATATTTTTCTTTTGTTTGCTTCTTCTGGGGGCAGGGGAGGTCACAGAGGCAGAGGGTGGACTCTGGAGGACTGGGAAGTGAGTGTGATCAGAGTGTATGATGTGAAATTCCCCAATAATCAATAAAAATATTATGCTGGGTCTGGCAGTGGTGATGTATGCTTTTAATCCTAGCACTTGGGAGGCAGATCTCTTTGAGTTCAAGGCCATCCTGGTCTACAGAGCAAATTCCAGGACAGGCTCCAAAGCTACACAGAGAACTGTGTCAAAAAAAGAAAAAAAAGAAAAAGAAAGAATAGTGTTGGAAGAGTGGAAAAGTAGGGAGAATCTGGGAGGAAATGCTAGAGGGAAAATCATGATTAGAATATTGTATAAGTTTTCAATTAGTAAAAATAAATAAATTTAAAAGGGGGAAGTCAAAGCCAGGCAGTGGTGGCGCATGCCTTTAATCCCAGAACTTGGGAGGCAGAGACAGGAGGATCTCTGTGAGTTTGAGGCCAGCCAGGTCTACGAGAGCTAGTTCCAGGACAGGCTCCAAAACTACAGAGAAACCCTATTTCGAAAAATAGTAATAATAAGAATAATAATAGTAATAATAAAAAAGGGAGGAGTCTAAAACTAAGTTACTCAATAAAAGCTGACATAACCAGGGCTTTCCAGTTAGGAACTCTTGTGGCTCTTCCAGTAGACTGAGTTCAATCCCAGCTCCCACATTAAGTGGCTCACAGCCTTCTATAACTCAAGATCCAAGGCATGTGATGCCCTCTTCTGGCCTCCAGGGATACTTGCACACATGTAGTATATACACAGACACACACACACAGACACACAGACAGACAGACACACATAGACAGACAGACAGACAGACACACACACACTTGAAAGAACCTGTCTTTCCCATAGTACCTTTGATAAGCCGATACCACTGTTTGCAGACCAGAGCTGCAGTTTTATGCTCCTGATACGGTGAAAGGAAGGACAAGATATACTCCAAAACTTCTTCTGGCAGCTCAGTCATGGACCTATTATGTCTTGTCTCTTCAACTTCCAACACTGGGTGGGATTCCTCATCTTGCTCCATTGTTCCTTCCAGTACAGTTTCTTCTTGGTCGACAGCCATGAAACTGTCATCCTCACTGTCCGAGGAGCTGGCCATGACATCCCACTTGAAGCTGTAGTGGGTAAGAAATAAGGATTAGGAAACAACTTTCAGAAGCACAGAAGCAACTGAGCACCCAAGCGGCTTGTGGATTACTTCCTACACAGCATGAAATTGCTCCAGCACCTCCTCACACTAGATGAGACCACCTTAATTTGACAGAGGTCAAATGTCAAGTTCATCATCACAGTCTCTTTCCTCAAGTTCTAGTGTAACCTTAAAACAAGGAAACTGGGGCTAGGGAGAAGGCTCAGCAGTTAAAAGCACCCCACACATAGGGCCCATGTTTGGTTCCCAGCACTACAAAGTGGCTCACAATACCCTGAACCCCAATTCCAGGGCCCAGCACCATCTTCTGGCCTCTATGGAGACTGCACACATGTGTTGGTACACAGACCACACATGCAGGTAAACACTCAAACACATTAAAAATCATCTTAAAAATAAAAGAAAAAACCCACCACCAAGAGTGGCATGGTAACACCTTTAATCCTACATAGTGAGTTCTAGGCCAACAAAACTACCTGGTGTGACCCCATTTCAAACAAACAAAAGAAAAAACAACTTGGAAAACCTGTTCATTCATAATTTCTTTAACTCTTTTAGATCTGACTAATACATGATTCAAGGAACATCCAATGACCCAAAACCTCCCACTGAAAAGGAAAAACTAACTCTGGGTTCTACAAAAGAGCAGAAGAACACTGGGAAGATCTGAGTTAAGAAACAGTAATTTAAGATGGGGTTGGGGGATGCAGGGAGTTGGGGTGCACATCTTTAATTCCAACACTTGGGAGGCAGAGTCAGGTGAATATCTGAGTTGGAGGTCAGCCTGGTCTACAGAGTGAGTTCTAGGCCAACCAGAGAAACCGTATCTCAAAAAAACCAAACCAACCAAACCAAACCAAAAAAACCCCAGCAGCTTTAAGACAGGCACAGAGGCAGACACCTGTGTCCCAGCAGACTAGCTTAACATGCAGAATGAGACCTGGTGTGTGTGAAAGGGGGTGTGGTTCAACAGTAAAGTGCATGCTTAGAGTGCTTGACCTTACACAGGACAATTTAATTGAGGAAAACGACTGTTCTAAGAACTGGCTTAATTGGCTAAACTGCAAACTATAAAGCAATATGGAAAATAGAAAATATGACAAATCTAGGCAATAAAAAACCAAATGCCTAACAACAGAATCAATAGTGTGAACTGTCATTCATAATGGAAACATATGAAGTCAAAAATGACAGGTACATGTCACATACACATGTCTCACAAACAACACTCAGCAAAGAGGGTAGAATGCATACTACACGACTATTTCCGCAAATTCAAAGCTAATCTGTGCTATTATAAGCGAGAACAATGATTAACACACAAAGTTCCAAAAGTGCTGGTAAAATTCTGTTCCTAATTGGGAACAGGAGTGTTCTGTCTGAAAAACTCATGGGCTGAATACCCGTGCACTCACGAGAGCTGCTCAGAATATGCTCCTGCTAGTGGTTATCTCTAGTGGAGAGAGTACAGACAGTTTACATTTCCTTTTGTGCATAGCGCTACTCCCAGAAATTTCTAAAAAGAAAATTCTGTATCATACACAAAAGCAAATAAATCATTTGCATATATAAAGCATAAAGTAAAAACAGTAAAATTAAGGAAATGTCATTTATATAAGAATAGGTACAGTGGTGCACACCTTTAATCCCAATACTTGAGAGGTGAAGAGGCAGGAGGAACTTGTGAGCTAAGGCCAGCCAGGACGACCCAGTGAGACCCTGTCTCAAAAAAAGAATTGTGTCCCAGTTAGACTAAAAAGAGAAGATACTAAATAGAATTATGACCAAAAAGGTTTAGTGCTCAGTAAATTTTCTAAGGGATGTGGGAGAAGCAGGGCTCAGATAAGAGGAGACACAGATCATGATGCTAAGCTTACCAAGCCTGTCTCACAGACCTTACTGAGACTGCCAGTTAGAAGGGTCTGGTGAAGGATGGACAGGGTGAAGCTCCTGTATCACTACTTGGCTAAGGCACTGGCTAGGGACCACTCCAAGAAAACTTACAGCAAAGCTCTGGCAAACAATGTAGTTGAATTCTTCACAAGGAATATAGTTTTTTTTTTCTTTCTTTTGGGAGGGGGTCTTGGTTTTTTGAGATAGGACTTCTCTGTGTAAAAGCCCTGGCTATTATGGGATTCACTCTATAGATCAAGCTAGCCTTGACCTCATAGATCCACTTGTCTCTGCCTCCCAAGTACTGGGATTAAAGGCATTAAAAAGTGCTTCTGAGGCATCTCTAGGTCCTATTGCTTGGTTGTTTTTTTGTTGTTGTTGTTAGATATCCTGTAGCCAGACTCTCTTTGAACTCACAGTTATCCTCCTGCCTCAGTTTTCCAAATGTTAGGATTATAAGATGTAAGGCACATGATGTACTGAGCTTACTGCTTCCCCTACGACTCCCATTCTCACCCCCTCACCAGTCCCCTAAGTTCCTAAAGAATTTTGTTCCTGTTTTCATTTCCACATGCACACAACTGATTCCCTTCTCTAATTTACTGAGCTACACTAACCTCACTCTACCCTAAACTCACCAAAGAAAAAAGTCCAAGAAAAAGACCCATTGGGTGAGGCAATTTTTCATATCTACTTCAGATACATCTGCCAGCCCCAGCACAAAACTGACAGTGAGTCCAGATCGGCTTCAGAACAACTGAATCAGAGGCTATAAAAGGTCATTTCCATTTCCATTTTTCTCACACAGAGTAAACAATTTACCTCCTGTCCAAATCTTCTAAAAGCACAATTAGCAAATCAGTGCAGCAACATTCCCACGGCCTCTATAAGTTTTAAGGAGATTTCACTGTCAACCCTCGTACGGTTCAGGGAAGCATCAGTGCCATGCCTTAAAGGCTTGCTAGCTCCGCCCTGACACAGGTGCCAGGTGCCTCTCCTTGGTACTGCATGCCTGCACCAATTCACACAGTGCTTCCTTTTCACTTCCTCCACCAAGTACTCACAACCCCCGAGGACACAGAGGCAGTTTTTGATGCTCTGAATTTTGTTTTGTTTTCATTTGGCCTAAAGCATTTCCCACGTAAATGCATTAACTCAAGGAATGTGATTTTCATGAAGCTATTTACAAAGACAAGCAAGCTCTCCTCCTCACCAGTGTCAGAGCTCTTCATTCCCCAAAGTCAGGGGTCTTTGGAAAAACTCACAATCTCAAGTCAACGCAACAGACCTAGACCTCGAAGACAGGCTGTTTAGCTGGGCTTCTTTGCCTTCCATGGGGCATCCCAGTGAACATGAGGTTTCTAGATACTTCGCCCAGAACTTAGAGTTTCCATTTCTGTGAAGAGATACCATGACCGGAAACATTTCATTGAGGTGTCAGTTTCAGAGGTTCAGTCATCCTGGCAGGGAGCATGGCAGTGTGCTGGCAGACATGGTGTTGGAGAAGGTGCTGAGAATTCTACATCTTGATCCAAAGGCAATGGGAAGTGAACTGAGACACTGGGCATGCCTTGAGCATATTATGAGTCTTTACCTCAAAGCCCACCCAGACAGTGATACACTTCCTCCAACAAGGCCACACCTCCTAATAGTGACACTCCCCATGAGCTTATGGGAGTGGAGGGCGATTACATTCAGACTATTACACACTCAGAGCACCTGTATGCTGACCTCGCATCACTTTACAACAGAACTGAGTCACACCACAGCAACCCCCGCCCCCCGCCTCCCCGTACATCACAGAGTACCAGTAGTCTGCTGGACAAAAATAATATGTGTTTATGTCCCTTAAATTCTGAAGTTTAAAGAGGGGAGCAGAAAGAGTGTAATAAGGAGAGAGCCTACTTGTTCTTCCTGGCCACCTGGCTACCTTAGCCCCGAAATAATCACACAGAAATTGTATTAATTAAATCACTGTTTGGCCCATTATCTCTAGTCTTTTATTGGCTAACTCTTACATTTTGATTTAACCCATTTCTATTAATCTGTATATCGCCACGTGGCAGTGGCTTACCAGGAAAGATTCGGCATGTCTGACTCTGGTAGCTCCATGGCGGCTCTCCTGACTCTATTTTCTTCCTCCCAGCCTTCAGTTCTGTCTTCCCCGCCTACCTAAGTTCTGCCCTATCAACTAGGCCAAGGCAATTTCTTTATTCATCAACCAATGAAAGCAACACACAAACAGAAGGAACTCCTACACCAGAAGAGTAAGTTTTTTTTATTTGTTTGTGTTGGGTTTTTTGGTTTTTTGGTTTTATTTTTAAGAATGCCAGTTTTATTTGCCAACTGGCCATACTAGTTGCAACACTGAATTCCAGCTTCGATGGGAGGCTCTGTCTCAGATAAGATTGAAAGGTAAGTGAGATGGTTCAGTAGGTAGACACTTTACCCCAAGATTGATGACCTCAGTCCAATCCCCAGAACCCACATAGTAGAAGGAAAGAGCCAGTTCCCATACGTTTCTCTCTTATCTCCCCCACATGCACCAAAGAACAAGCAGGCAGACAGACAAAACTGAAATTCAGTTAATTTGCTGAAAATATAGTTGAAAATTTAGAACAGAATCCAGCTTGCTCTTCATAACTTCAAAAGCTTTTTACCATAATCACTGATGCTGTTAGAAGCTAGGAAGTTCCCACCTCAGAGGTGCCAGTGTGAGCTGAAGACAGTGTTGCTCCTGATGATGCAAACACTGCTGGATGAGGAGTCTACACACAATCATAACATGGTTCACCCAAAGATTATGCTAAACCTTAAGATTACACCACCATTATCATCCTTATCTTTACGCCAAGTCAAATGAAAAGTTACAGAAAGTAGAAAAATTGTAAGGGGTAATATTTTGACATATTTCACAGTCAATAATTATCAACAATATAACATGTACACGTGGTGTGGTAAGTCCTTCTGTCTATGTGTTGCTTTTATTGGTTAATGAATAAATCTGTTTCAGCCAGTGGCTTGGCAGAATAGAGCTAAGCAGGAAAACTAAGCTGAATGCTGGGAGAAAGA